TCCTGAGGGCCAAGGATGAGGCTGGTGCGAGGTCGTGGGCGAGTGCCATCCAAGCCCAGGTCAGTGCTCTGACACCGCGGGTCAAGGATGAGCTACAGGCACTGCTGGCAGCCACCAGCCCAGCTGGGAGCCAGGACATCAAGCAGATCGGCTGGCTGACTGAGCAGGTGCCTGCTGGGCCTGGGACCTATCTCTCCCTCTTTTCCCCTCCCTTGGAGCTGGCCCTGTTCTCAGTGCCCCTGGCCACCTTGCCCCGCCCTGGCCCTCTGCCCTCTCTCCCCCAACCCCTCTTCACTGCTGCTTTATCCCCTGCAGCTGCCCAGTGGAGGCGCGGCCCCCACCCTGGCCCTGCTGACTGAAAAGGAGCTGCTCCTTTACTCTTCTCTCCCTGAGACCCGCGAGGCCCTGAGCCGGCCAGCCCGTACTGCCCCACTCATCGCCACCAGGTACCCACAAGCAGAGGCAGTATGTCTCCCCAGAGCTTGCCAGGAGATGCTCCAGCAGGGCCCTGAAAGCTGGGAACTCCAGTCCTGTCCTTCCCTCAGCTATTCCCCAGGTGACCTAAAGCAAGTCTCTGCCCTATCTGGGCCTCAGTTTACTCACCTGTAAAATGGGCACTTGGAACAAAAGGATATAAGGTCCCTACCAGCGGCTCATTCATTGACACTTATGCCTTGTGCTGTATGGCTCAGATGACACAGAGCTGATCCCAACAGTTTCTACCTTCAGAGAGAACTTTGTCTTGTTGGGGAGACAGACCCAGGAACAGCCATTATAGTGCAGGGTTTGTAGGAGCCTACTCTGTAGGGGTAGTTGAGGAAGGCTTCAGGGAGGAGGTGACATTTGAGCTGGACTTTGATGGATGAGTAGAAGTTTTCTTCTCATGGTCAAAGGTACAGAGGCATGAAGGGCTAAGGCATGTTCATGGAGCTATGAGTTCCTTATAACCAGAATTCACGCAGGAAGTGGACAGAAGGGACTTGGCAGGTGCTGCTCTTACAGAGCTTCTGTTGCCTGATGAAGGAATGTTGGCTTTATCTTAAAAGTTTGGGAGTGTTGAAGGGTGGAAGGAGTGAGGTGCTCTGGTTGCTTTGAGAGAACCCATGTGGCTGCCCCATGGAGAATGCAGCAGAGAGCGCAGGAGAGATGAGGGTGGCTGGCGGAGGTGGAGGTGGGTGGCGGGCGGCCTGCAGATGGAGAAGAAAGGCAGCATTTGCATGGGAAACCACACGGCTGTAAAATTAACAGGGCTCAGTGCTTGCCAGATGGGGCGGGTGAAGGAGGGGTCTGGAATGAACAGGAGGTTTGGAGCTTGTGTCTGGGTGAGTGTGGGACTGAGGGTGGGGGTGGAAAGGGAGGAGGCTGGAGCAAGATGCTGAGTCAAGTCCACAGTGTGTGTGGGATGGAGAGGGAGCTTGGATAGGAAGCTTGGGGACTCAAGGGTCTGCAGCTCAGGGCTGGACAGTGGGAGGCTGGTGTCAGCAGTGGTTCACGGGGAGCTGAGCTATAAGAGAAGGAGTGGGTGGAGGGAAGAACAAAGAGGAATACAGGCCAGAACTCTAAGGTCTGCCCCAGAGAGGGGCAGTTGGCTTACCAAGGCTGCACAGCAAGTGAGAGTCAGGCTGCAGGAGTCCGAAGTCCTTGTCACCCATTTCTCCTTACCTCAGGCTGGCTCTGGCCTGTGTGTCAGGAGCCCGCTGGCTACTAGGGATAACTAGGTTTTGGACAGTCCACTGAATCAAGTGATTCAACTCAGGCAACAAATGTTTATTGAGCAACTACTATGGTCAGGCATGGTTTCAGTTACTGGGAATACAGTGGTGAACAAAGGATCAAAATTTCTACCCTAGCTGACATTTTCGTAAAAAATACAGTAAAAAAACTAACTGAAACAAATAATAAAAAGTATAATTTCTAGTACCATAACGAAAAAGTAAGGCTATTGAGTAACGAGGGTGCTATTTTGGACTGGAAGGTCAGGGAAGGCTTCTCAGAGGAGGTGACATTTAAGCTAACATCTGAAGGAAGTGAGGGAGTGAGCTGTGAGGATAATCAAGGAAGCGTGTATAGGCAGAGGAAACAGCATATGCAAAGGTGCTGAGGCAGGCATGTGCTGGGTGTTGTGTGTGAGGACACCAGTATAGCCAGAGCCAAGGGAATGACAGGGAGAGTGGCAGATGTCTCCTATTGAGTCAATCAGTGCCCCCTAGCAAGTCTTGTCCTGTTAGGTGGTGAAAGATTCCCAGGATTCCTTCCCAGGACACTGATCCCCTTGCCCAGAACTATTTGCCCCCTGCCTGAGGCCTCATGCTTAGCCCTCTGCCCCCCCCATCCCCCAGACTGGTGCACTCAGGCCCCTCCAAGGGCTCAGTGCCCTATGATGCAGAGCTCTCTTTTGCCCTGCGCACGGGCACGCGTCACGGTGTGGACACTCACCTGTTCAGCGTGGAGTCACCGCAGGAGCTGGCTGCCTGGACCCGCCAGCTGGTGGATGGCTGTCACCGGGCCGCCGAGGGTGTGCAGGAGGTGTCTACAGGTGTGCTGGGAGGATCTGGGAGTGTCCCTCTGGTAATGAGCCTCTTCTCCTCAGGGACATTCAAGCTTCCTTCTTTAGGGCACTTCAGACAGGAAATGGGGTTTGGAGGTCAAGGTGGGTGGATCATCTGAGGTCAGGAGTTCGAGACTAGCCTGGCCAACATGGCAAAACCCCGTCTCTACTAGTAATACAAAAATTGGCTGGGTGTGGTGGCTCACACCTGTAATCTCAGCACTTTGGGAGGCTGAGGCGGGTGGATCACTTGAGATCAGCAGTTCAAGACCAGCTTGGCCAAATGGTGAAACCCCGTCTCTACTAAAAATATAAAAATTAGGTCAGGCGCGGTGACTCACGCCTGTAATCCCAGATACTTAGGAAGCTGAGACAGGAGAATTGCTTGGACCTGAGAGGCGGAGGCTGCAGTGAGCTGAGATCACACCACTGCACTCCAGCCTGGGTGGCAGAGCAACAGTCCGTCTCAAAAAACAAAACAAACAAATAGAAATTAGCCAGCCATGATGGAACACACCTGTCATCTCAGCCACTTGGGAGGATGGGGCAGGAGAATTGCTTTAATCCTGGAGGTAGAGGTTGTAGTTAGCCCACATAGCCCCACTTCACTCCAGCCTGGGTGACAGAGCAAGATTCGGTCTCAAAAAACAAAATAAAACCAAACAAAACCCCAAACATTAGCTGAGCATGGTAGCAGGTGCCTGTAGTCCCAGCTACTTGGGAGGCTGAGGCACAAGAATTACTTGGGAGGTAGAGGTTGTGGTGAGCCAAGATCACACCCACTACACTCCAGCCTGGGTGACAGTGAGATTGTTCCTCAAAAAAAAAAGAAACCAACGTTGGGTTTGGGCCTCTGTTTTGGATGTGCAGGTGCCCTGGTAGGCAGAGACTCTTCTCCCTGGGGTTTTCTTGCCCCAGCTTTGTCCATCTGCTGAGGATGTGAGAGATGGCACTTGGGGTAGGGCTGCCAGATGAAATACAGGACACCCAGCTACATTTGAATTTCAAGTTAACAATGAATACTTTTTTCATAGAACTATGCCCAAATTAGTCATTGCTTATCTGAAATTTAAATTTAGCTGGGCAACTCTGCAAGTCTCCAAGGGTGGTGCTTGGTAGATCTGATGATGCCTTTATCAGGAGTGAGCCTCCTGTCCATGACAGATTTTAAGCTCCCCCCTTTATACTGTAGTGCTGCTGGAAGTGGGGCTGGAAGTGGGTATAGGTCCTCTGAGGGTGGGGGTGGTGACTCTCTGCAGGATGGGTATACAGGTGCCACAACAAACAGTGATCCTACCATACATGGAGGCATTTAGGCCCCACTTTGTGACGCTGCGGTGGGGGTTGGAGGTTGGGGTGTGGTCTCTGAGGTGCCAGCTATGCCTGTACCTACGTGCCCCTCCTGCAGCCTGCACGTGGAACGGGCGTCCCTGCAGCCTGTCTGTGCACATCGACAAGGGCTTCACACTGTGGGCGGCTGAGCCAGGGGCAGCCCGAGCTGTGCTCCTGCGACAACCCTTCGAGAAGCTGCAGATGTCTTCAGATGATGGCGCCAGTCTCCTTTTCCTGGACTTTGGGGGTGCTGAAGGCGAGATCGTGAGTGAAGGGCAGCCTCTGTACCCTGGGGAGGAGGGGGTGTGTACTCTTGGAAGCCAGGCTGGCCAGGGCCCTGACTCTTCTCTCCATCCACCCTGCAGCAGCTGGACCTGCACTCGTGTCCCAAAACCATAGTCTTCATCATCCACTCCTTCCTCTCGGCCAAAGTCACCCGCCTTGGGCTCTTGGCCTAGAAGTCGCCGGATGCACTAGCCCTGAAGAGGGGTGTCTATAACATGGCGTGAGCTGGGCCTCCACCGAATGCCTGCTCGCCCCTGGGCTGACAGAAGGGAGAGGAGAGGAACGAGGTTCCTCAGAGACCCCGCCCCTGAGGGAGGCTGGATTGGTCTTGGGGCCCAGGACCCAGACCCAGGACAGAGTGGACCCTGCCTGTGATGGGGTAGCCTTCCTGCTGCCCCCCTCCACTAGTGCCTTTTGCAGAGAGATATTTTGTGTACACAGAAGCCATTCCAAGCCTGGGACCTGCCCCTGTGTGGATCCTGACCCCAGCCAACAGCTGAGCTGCCAGGCCTCCTTGAGGCCCCTAAGCCACCCCCAGAGGTCCCATCTGAAGCTGGAATACCTGGGGTCAGCGGCAAGAGAAAGAAGAGGAGCCTTTCTGTTTGTTTTTCCCCTTAGCTCCGCCACCTTGGGGAGTCTGGTTTTTCTCTTCATCCTTTCTCTCTCCTCCTTACTCTTGGATAAATAAATAGCCTGTGAGCATACAGGCAGCCTGGCCCAGTGTCTGTGGTCTGTGCCTTGGCCTTTGGGCCCTGGGGTGGCCCCTGCAGTCCCAAGATGGACCAGACCAAGGACCGGGGCACCTTTCCCTGGAGAAGAACAGACCTTCACCACAGGGCCAAAGAGAGTGTATTGGTTATTTATTTTTGTGTGACAAATTACCCCAAATTTAGCAGACAAATGACCCTGAATTTTGCAGCTTAAAATGACAAATATTCATTATGTCCTAGGTTCTGTGGGTCAGGAATTTGGGAGGGGCTAAGCTGGGCTGTTCTTGTCTCAGAGTTGCTCATGAGGTTGCAGTCAAGTTGTCGGCCAGGGCTGCAGTCATCTGAAGGCTTGACTGGGGTCGGAGGATCCATTCCAATACTGCTTATGGTCATGAGGTCTCAGTGCCTCACCATGCAGGCCTAACCCTAGAGCTGCTGCTTGAGTCTTCTCATGATATGGCAGTTGGCTTTCCCCACAGTGAGACAGAAGATAGAGCAAGGAGGAAGCCACAAACAGTGCCTCTTATGACCCAGTCTTGGAAGCCACAGACCGTGGTTCTGTTCATTAGAAGTGAGTCACTAAGTTCAGCCCACACTCAAGGGGAGGGGAATCAGGCTCCACCTCTTGAAGAAAGGAATGTGGAAGAATGTGTGGACCTATTTCAAAGCCACCTTAGAGAGCTTCAGGACCCTTTCCTGCAGAAGGGAGGTAGAGTGGAATGTTTAGTGCTTCAGAAACTGTGATGTGCTGGCTGGATGTGAGTGGGCGGTGGCTATGACTCCCTACCTGAAATCACAATGACAACAGCAATGATGGAGAAGGTTTTTTTGTTTACTTTTTTTTGAGACACGGTCTTGCTCTGTCACCCAAGTGGGAGTGCAGTGGTATGTTCTCAGCTCACTGCAACCTCCACTTCCCAGTTCAAGTGATTCTCCTGCCTCAGCCTCCTGAGTAGCTTTTACAGGTGCCTGCCACCAAGCCTCACTAATGTTTTGTATTTTTAATAGAGACGGGGTTTCACCATGTTGGCCAGGCTGGTATTGAACTCCTGACAATCCTCCTGCGTCAGCCTCCCAAAGTGCTAGGATTACAGGTGTGAGCCACCACGCCCAGCTCAGAACATTTTTAAAACTTTCTAAAGATCCAGTTTCTTCAATGTAGCCACAAGATAAAACAAAGATCATGTGCTTGGTGTGCCTGCCTGTATCCCAGCACTTTGGGAGGTTGAGGAGGGTAGATTACCCAAGGTCAGGAGTTTGAGACCAGACTGGCCAATATGGTGAAACCCTGTCTCTAGTAAAAATACAAAAATCACCTGGGCATGGTGGCACCTGCCTGTAATCCCAGCTACTCAGGAGACAGGAGAATCACTTGAACCCCCGGAGGTGGAGGTTGCAGTGAGCAGAGATCGCACCACTGCACTCCGGCCTAGGTCACAGAGCATGACTCTGCCTCAAAAAAAAAAAAGACCAGGTAACTTAACTTTGAGGCAATCACTTTTAGCTTATTTATAATGGCAGCATTCTTTGTTTCTTTGTGAAAATGAAACTTTCTCAGCTTATCCACTAAATTTTCAGCAATATCCCAAACCATGAAAGACTCACTCATTTCCTTCTGGCCATCAGCAGTCTGGTGCCTTCACTTGGAACACCCTGTGAAGTGTTTTTGAGATGTGGTCTTGCTTTGCTGCCCAGGCTGGAGTGCAACTGTGGGATCCCAGCTCACTGCAGCCTCAGCTTTCCAGGCTTACGTGATCCTCCTACCTTGGTCTCCTAAGTTACTGGGACCACAGGCATGTGCCACTATGGCTGGCTAATTTTTTTATTTTTTAATTTCTTGTAGAGATGGGGTTTTGCCATGTTGCCCAGGCTGGTCTCACACTCCCGAGCTCAAGCAATCCTCCTATCTTAGCCTCCTAAAGTGCTGGGATTACAGGCAGGAGCCACTATGCCTGGCCTTGGACCCCTTTTAAGAATAGGATGGTGAGCTGGGTGTGGTGGCTCATGCCTATAATCCCAGCACTTTGGGAGGCTGAGGCGGGTGGATCACTTAAGGTCAGGAGTTTGAGAGCAGCCTGGCCAACATGGTAAAACCCCGTCTCTACTAAAAATATAAAAATTAGCCAGGTGGGGTGGCACACATCTGTAGTGCCAGCTGCTTGGGAGGCTGAGGCAGGAGACTCACTTGAACCTGGGAGGTAGAGGCTGCAGTGAGCCAAGATCTCGCCATTGCACTCCAGCCTAAGCTACAGAGTGAAACTCAGTCTCAAAAAAAAAAAAAAAAAAGAAAAGAAAAACAAGAATGGCACAGTGGCCGCTTCCCTTCTTGCCCCAGCCATGGCTAACATACAGAGAGTGTGATCTTCCACACACTGTGCACACATTATCTTATTGGATCTTCACCATATGCCTATATAGTGGGCACAGTTATCTCAGTTTCACAGATGAAAAAACTTGGGCTCAGAAGGGGAGAGTAAATTGCCGAATGTCACACAGCTATGAAATATCTGAGCTGGGATTCAAATCAGATCTATCTGACTTCAAAGCTGTTGTTCACTTTATAAACATATGCTTAGGATATTGAAGGAGCAAAACTAAATTATGTAGTTGAGGTACAGTCAGCTAGAGAGAACACAGTAGGAGAAGTAAGTGGGCTGGAGAAGTAAAAGTAGGGAGCCAGGCACGGTGGCTCACACCTGTAATCCCAGCACTTTGGGAGGCTGAGGTGGGGGGATCATTTGAGGCCAGGAGTTTGAGACCAACCTGGCCAACATGGTGAAACCCCGTCTCTAGTAAAAATACACAAATTATTTTTAATTTGTGCATGGTCCAGGCGTGGTGGCACATGCCTGTAATCCCAGCACTTTAGGAGGCGAGGTGGGCGGATCACTTGAGGCCAGCAGTTGGAGACCAGTCTGGCCAACATGGTGAAAACTTGCTCTACTAAAAATACAAAAATTAGCTTGGTGTGGTGGTGCACACCTGTAATTCCAGCTACTCCGGAGGCTGAGGCAGGAGAATTGCTTGAACCTGAGAGAGGTTGCAGTGAGACAAGATTATGCCACCGCACTCCAGCCTAGGTGACAGAGTGAGACTCCGTCTCAAAAAAAGAAAAAAGGTAAGCAGGGGCCACATCACACAGACCCCTAGGACACAGTAGGAAATCTGGATTTTATTGCAAGGGCAACAGAAAGCACTCAAGCTTTTTGTTTTTCTTTCTTTCTTTTTGGAGACGTGGTCTCATTGTGGTACCCAGGCTGGAGTGCAGTGTTGAGATCATGATTCACTGCAGCCTCAACCTCCCTGGTTCAAGCAATCTTCCTGCCTCAGCTTTCGGAGTAGCTGGGACCACAGGTACCTGCCACCACACTGGGCTAACTTTTGTATTTTTTGTAGAGATGGGGTTTCACCATGTTGTAGGCTAGTCTAGAACTCCTGGGCTCAAGCAATCTGCCCACCTTGGCCTCCCAAAGTGCTGAGATTACAGGCGTGAGCCACCACACCTGGCCTGCTACTGAGAGTTTTCAACAGAGGAGTTTTATAATTCGATTTAATAAAACAGACAAACTCCCTTAGGCTATGTGTGGGAAACTGGTCTCAGGAGACAAGATGACTAGCTAGCAGGCTACTGTGATTTTTTCTGATGAGACGGTGGTGGCCTGGGTAGTTGTAGCTACCGAGTAGACAGATTTGACATTTTGTGGTTAGAGTTGACAGGGCTTGCCAACAGATAGAATGAGGGGATCCAGGGAGATGAAAAAAAAATGAACATTTGCTTCCTCCTAGTGCACCTGGAAGGATGATTGGGCCATTACTGAGATGGGCCAGAATGGCAGGTACAGGTTTTTGGCAAAGGTGTGTGTGTGTGTGTGTGTGTGTGTGTGTGTGTGGAAATGAAGAGTTCTGTATAAGTTAGAGATGGTCATCAGACACCCAAGAAGGGGGTGCCAAGTAGCCTCCAAGGAGGCTCCAGTTGGACATGTGAATCAGGAAGTCATTAACCTACAGAGCAGCACCCTCCAATAGAAATAGAGTGCGAACCTCTTAGGTGACTTAAAATTTCCCTGTTAGGACCAGGCACAGTGGCTCACCCCTATAATCCCAGCATTTTCCGAGGCCAAGGTGGGAGGATGGTTTGAGCCTAGGTAGGAGTTTGAGACCAGCCTGGGGAACACTGGGAGACCCATCTCTACAAAAAAATGAAAAAAAAAAAAAAAAATTAGCCGGTGTGGTGGGGCCCACCTGTAGTCCCAGGTACTTGGGAGGCTGAAGTGGGAGGATTGCTTGAACATAGGAGCCAGGAGCTGCAGTGAGCCATGACCACACCAAAAAATTTCCCCCCGGCAGCCACATTTAAAAAAGTAAAAAGAAACAGGTGAACTTCATTCAAATATTTCTACCACCGTAGCTACAAATAAAAATAATTCAACGAATGTGCTTTTTTAACCCAATATATGCCAACAATCATTGCAACACACAATCAATATAAACATTATATATGAACGATTTGACATTTCTTCTTCCACATCTGGTGCATCTTACATTTAGCGCACATTTGATTTGCACTCACCCCCTTTGAGGCGCTCAGTTGCCGCGTAAGTCCCAAGGCTAGTGGTTGCCCTAAGGCTCAGTGCCGCCACGGAACTTGCGTCCACCCGGACTATAAAAAGGAAGCACTTCCGTTAGCTTGACCGGGTCTGAAGTAGCGGAGGAACGGAAGTGGCTTGCGTCTGGGCGCTGCGGGGAGCCGACTTGCCGGCAGAACTTATGCTGCGGGACCCCGGGTGCTGCTGCTGCTGCTGCTGCAGGAGGTGAGCGGCGCGCCAGCCGGGGTGGGCTGCTTTTGACTGGCGCTTGGGGCAGGAGGGGTCGCGGATCCCGGGAAGCGCGCGGTGTTCCAAAGGGAGGATGGCACAATGGTTACGGCGTGGGGCCTGGCGTCAGGCTGTCGGGGTTCGTACCCTGACCCCGTGTGACCTTGGACAGGTCACCTCCACTTCTTCCAAGGCTTCGCCTCGCCCCCTGTGGCGTCGGGGTGACAGTTCAGCCTGCTCCACAGGGTTGCTGCGAGAGTTAGAGCTGGTAATTCGCGGGAAATGCTTCGCACCATACCTGACACGTTGCAACAAGCCAGAAAAAGATTTGGGATGTTGTAGACTATTGTTCCATCCTCATTGCCGACTGTCAGAATTAATTGCGAGCCCCCAGAGAGGCTTCTACACTGTGTTATGCAAAGCATTTTGCTTGTATTATTGCATTTGATCCCACGGTTGGCCTATGGAGATAGCTGCTATTATTCCCATTTCGAGGCTACCAGAGTTTTTAAGACAGGTGCCTAAGGTTTATCTGGCTTGGCAGCAGTGGGGTTAGATACTGACTCTAGGGTCCATACTGGGTTTTTTGTTTTTTGGTTTTTTTTGAGACGGAGTCTTGCTCTGTCGCCTAGGCTGGGGTGCAGTGACGTGATCTTGGCTCACTGCAGCCTCTGCCTTCCCGGTTCCAGCGATTCTCCTACCCTAGCCTCCTGGGTAGCTGGGATTACAGGCGCGTGCCGCCACGGCCGGCTAATTTTTGTATTGCTAGTAGAGTCCATACTCTTAACCAGGATGCTCTAATACTTCCCGTGAAAGGGGGTGTTGGTGTGAATGTGCAGTTACTGAGTGCTTACTGTGTCTCAAGTTGGGTTTTTAATATCTTATAACACTTCTGGGGAGTAGGTGTTACTTTGATCCTTAGTTTACACATGTTGAATTGGTCGCTTAGAGACAGAAATTTGTCTTACCAAAGGTCACCGAGCAATTACGGAGTAGAAATGGGTGACTTTAAAGCTCACACTATAAGGCTGCTCTTCTCTGACGCTTGCAGCTGGGTTGGCATTGCTCCTAAGTGCCAGTAGCAGATGTGGCAGATGATCACATCGGAAAGGTAATGGGCCACGTCTGCTCATTACACATGTATAGCAGGGGTCCCCAAACCCCAGGCCGTAGACTGGTACCTGTCCATGGCCTGTTAGGAACCTGGCTGCACAGCAGGAGGTGAGCAGCAAGCTGGCATCATTACTGCTCCGTCTCCTGTCAGATCAGCCGTGGCATTAGATTCTCATAGGAACGCAAATCCTATTGTGAACTGCATGTTTGCAAGGGATCTAGGTTGTGTATTCCATTTCTTTTCTTTTTTGAGACAGAGTTTTGCTCTTGTTGCCCAGGCTGGAGTGCAATGGCACTATCTTGGCTCACCGCAACCTCTGCCTCCCAGGTTCAAGGGATTCCCTTGCCTCATCTTCCTGAGTAGTTGGGATTACAGGCATGTGCCACCACGCCTGGCTAATTTGTATTTTTAGTAGAGATGGGGTTTCTCCATGTTGGTCAGGCTGGTCTTGAACTCCCCAGCCTTAGGTGATCCACCTGCCTAGGCCTCCCAAAGTGCTGGGATTACAGGATGAGCCACTGCTCCCAGCCTCTTTTTTTTTTTGAGACAGGGTCTCTCTATGTCGCCCAGGCTGGAGTGCAGTGGTGTGATCTTAGCTCACCACCTCAGCCTCCTGAGTAGTTGGGATTATAGGCACATGCCATGACGCCTGGCTAACTTTTGTATTTTTGTAGAAACGGGGTTTTGCCATGTTGGCCAGGCTGGTCTTGAACTCCTGACCTCAAGTGATCCACCCACCTCGGCCCACCCAAAGTTCTGGGATTGTAGGCGTGAGTGGCTGTGCCTGGATGAGACTTTTGAAGGGTAGAAGGAGTCACTGATCGGGCGTACAATGCCCCCACATTAGATGCTTTCCTTCTGAAGGAACTTGAAGGAAGTTACCTTTAGACAATGAGTGGTTTTCACAGTATTAAGAGGCAGGGTAGCAGGGTGGGTATTGGCATGGTCTTTGCATCCATACAGATTTTTATCTAAGTGCTTGGTTGACTGCTTACTGGCTGGAGGAGCTTAAGTGAGTTCCTCAACCTATGTCTTTCGGAACAGGAACAATAATAGTGTCTGTTTCCTAGGATTGCTGTAAAGATTTAATGAGTGGATAGACTTAAAGCCTTGGGAACTGTTCTTGGCACAAGGTGCTATTTTGTCATTTTGCCTGGGCTTTCCATCTCATCTCTGCCACTCCTTGCTTTGAAAACACTGCCTGGATGTGCATCTCATCTCTGCCATTCCTTTGTGTGGTCTTGGGCAAGTTGCCTCCGTTTTTTCAGCTGTAAAATAGAGCTAATGTTATTAAGAGTACCTTCTTCATGGGCTTTTGTGAGGGGTGAATGAATGAATACACTTGAAGTGCTCAGAGCAGTATCCAGTCCACAGTGTTCAATAAATGCTGGTGATGTCTATCATTCTTTTGCAGACCGTGGACTGTTTAGTGCCATGCATTCTTTACAGTGTGTCCTCCAAGTGCAGAGGTCTCTGAGGTGGGGGCCAATGGCCTCTGTGTCTTGGCTGTCGCTGAGGATGTGCATGGCACACAGCAGTCTCTCTAGTACCACGTGTCCTAATCCAGAGAGGCAGGAGGATGGAGCTCGGAAGGATTTCAGCTCCAGGCTGGCCACAGGACCGACTTTGCAATATTTTTTAAGAAGTGCCTCAGCTCCTCAAGAGAAGCTGTCTTCAGAAGTGGAAGACCCACCCCCCTATCTCATGATGGATGAACTTTTAGGAAGGCAGAGGAAAGGTTGGTTTTACTTTTCTTATCCCTTTGGGCTTCCTGCCTTGCTCCTTTCTGGAAGTCCTGGCATGATTCTTTTATTACAAACCTGGCTTGGAAGGTTAACAGTGTGAGAAGGCTGTGGGAATCATCAGACTCCATCAAGTAATATTAATATTAAGAAACTCGGCCGCACGCAGTGGCTCAAGCCTGTAATCCCAGCACTTTGGGAGGCCGAAGCAGGTGGATCATGAGGTCAAGAGATGGAGACCATCCTGGTCAACATGGTGAAACCCCGTCTCTACTAAAAATACAAAAAATTAGTTGGGCATGGTGGCGTGTGCCTGTGATCCCAGCTACTCAGGAGGCTGAGGCAGGAAAATTGCCTGAACCCAGGAGGCGGAGGTTGCTGTTAGCCGAGATTGCGCCATTGTACTCCAGCCTGGGTAAGAAAAGCGAAACTTCGTCTCAAAAAAAAAAAAAAGAAACTCGGCTGGGCAAAGTGGCTCATGCTGGTAATCCCAGCACTTTGGGAGGCTGAGATGGGTGGATTGAGCCCAGGAGTTCAAGAACAGCCTGGATAACATGGTGAAACACCGTATGTACAAAAAATAAAAAATTAACCAGGTATGGTAGCATACACCCATAGTCCTAGCTACTCAGGAGGCTGAGGCAGGAGAATCATTTGAGCAAAAGCTGATTATCATTCAGCTCTTAACTTTTAGTTGGAATTTATTGGTGTCTGGAAATAAGGCTTGCTGGTGGGGACGAGATGGAGTATAGTTTGAAGCTGCTAGAATGTGAAATTCATGTTCTTACAACGTGTATAAAATTTGTTTTACTTCATAATATAGACTTGCTTTCATTTAAGATGAAGCTACCATAAGAAGATGCTTCATTGGCCAGGTGCGGTGGCTCACGCCTATAATTCCAGCACTTTGGGAGGCCGAGGTGGGCGGATCACAAGGTCAAGAGATCGAGACCATCCAGGGCAATATAGCGAAACCCCGTCTCTACTAAAATACAAAAAAAAAAAAAAGAAATTAGCTGGGCATGGTGGTGCGTGCCTGTAATCCCAGCTACTCTGGAGGCTGAGACAGGAGAATCTTGAACCCGGGAGGTGGAGGTTGCAGTGAGTCAAGATTGTGCCACTGCACTCCAGCCTGGCGCCTGGCAACACAGCAAGACTCTGACAAAAAAAAAAAAAACAAACCTCATTATAATTTTGTGACTTTATGTACCCTCTGCCCACTGCCGTTGCTTACAGAGGCTGGAGAACCTCTTCATTTTAAGAAGGAGTGCAACATGGTGTAACATGGGTTTAAACTTACTTTCCCTTCAGACTGATGAACACTATCAGCTCATCCTTCCTGCTCTTTTCTTTTTTGAGACGGAGTCTCACTCTGTCGCCCAGGCTGGAGTGCAATGGCATGATCTCATCTCATTGTAACCTCCGCCTCCTGGGTTCAAGCAATTCTCCTGCCTCAGCCTCCTGAGTAGCTGGAATTACAGGTGCGTGCCACTTTGCCTGGCTAATTTTTGTATTTTTAGTAGAGACGTGGGTTTCACCATGTTGGCCAGGCTGGTCTCAAACTCCTGACCTCAGGTAGTCTGCCTGCCTCGGCCTCCCAAAGTTCTGGGATTATAGGCGCCTGGCCTAGTCCTTCCTTTTCTAATTGTTTTTATAACTATATTTCCTTGATCCTCAGCTACATGTTTTCCTCATTTAAAAAATAACATGGCTTATAACTGGTGTGTGTATATAATGTGGTATTTTTTTTTAATTTGAGATAGGGTCTCACTCTGTTGCCCAGGCTGAGTGCAGTGGTGTGACCATGGCTCAATGCAGCATCAGCTTCCTGGGCTCAAGCAGTTCTCCTGCCTCAGCCTCCTGAGTAGCTGGGACCACAGGCATGTACTATCATACCTGGCAAATTTTTTAATTTTTTGCAGAGACAGGGTCTCCCTGTGTTGCCCTGGCTGCTCTCAAACTCCTGGGCTCTAGTAATCCTGCTGTTTCAGCCTCCCAAAGTGCTGGGATTAAGGCATGAATCAGTGTACCCAGCCTAATGTGGTGTTTCTTCTGCTCTGAAAGTCTATCATTAATTTGGGAGTACATCTGGCAATTTATGTTATCTTAGCACTGAGGCAGTAGGGGACTTAGTGGATAACCAAATGCTTCAGGTATTTCT